GGCTCATGTCTTAATGCACATAGTTCCGATTGGCAGAAACGCGTCCATTTGAAAACGAGGGACTCGTCTAAACAAATGAATAGTCGGACTAATTTTGGTGTCTTGCGCAACGGTCTGTTTCTTCCTCAGCTGACGAGATGCTATTCGCGGCGAGATGGACGTGCAGTGGTAGCCGGTCAAACTTCACCCCGGGGCACCCAACGCAGGAGTGATGCCGGCGCAGCACCACAGCAATTAATTGCACGCTGGAGTAAGCTCGGTCACTGGGACATTAAAAAAACCGTGCAAGTGCTCGTCAAAAGCCCGTTTCCGATTGAGTAATACGCCAGACACATGCTTCCGTATTTATTTTGCTCACTCACACACAGTCATTGAAACGCCGGGAGATTTAACTGCTGGATAATATAAGGAGGTGTATACTGTATACTAACATGGTAAGGAAAAACGCCGTATGAGCCTTCAGACGTTGCCGAATTTCCTTCGATGAAAACCGAATTTTCTGGGAAAATTGTAAATATTTCTCCCCCAAATTTTTAGACTATTTTGTACGCAATTTCATTAAAAATATCTGAAAATTTCAAGGGAAAATATGCTTAAACTACGTCAGAAATACACTTTTTATCAAGGGAAAATTGGCAACTCTCGAATGTTCATACGGCATTCTTCCTCAGCACGGCAGTATACAGATGGGTCGCATTACAGACTGGTCGCTGAAAAAAAACCTACCCTTTAAAGTTTAATGTTTGCATGCACAATGAAAGCATCGAAAACAATGGATCCGAAATGAGCTCTTGCCCATTTTAGTCGGTTAGTTAATTTATTTAAAGACATAAGCTATTAACGTCTTTACAAAGTATTTGGAGGATGGGTATCTGACCTCTATACTGCCGTGTGTTTATACAAAGTATTTGGAAGATGGGTGTCTGACCTCTATACTGCCGTGTGTGTATGTATAAAGCCGCTTTTATAGCGCTCTCTGGCGCTCTGCGATTCCTAGCCGCCTAAGTCCCCTATCCCCCAAAGTCCTTCAGGGAGTTGACAAACCCTCATTTCTTATACCTCATTTCTATACTGCCGTGCCGTGGAAGGATGCCGTATGAACATTGAGATGTTACCAAAACTCCCGCCGTAAAACATTAATTTTTGATGTACTTTATGAATATTTTTCCTTGGAATTTTAAGTTACTATGTAGATTTATTGCGGGTAAGATTCTCTGAAAAATTGAAAGAAAAATTTTCACAAATTTCCCTTAAAATTCTTTTTATATTAAGAGAAATTTGGCGACAAAGGCTCATACGGTGTTTTCCCAAGCACGGCGGTATAGAAAGAGAGTGCATTCTTTTGAAGGGTCTGTGTTGCCTTGGGGCTCAAAGTTATTTTAAACAACGCAACCGCAACTTTTATGATACCGCCTTGTCTCAATATGACTCACTTCTATAAGATAAAATCATAAGATTAACGCATAACGCCTGAGGCGCGAGGCACTTCCAGGAGGTGGACTGCGAAGAGGTCAGGGGACGTAGCACCGTTTTCAATTTTCTAAATCTGTGCACAAAATTGAATTTTACTCCTAGAGTTTCAACTAAAAACCATCTCATCAAATTTTGGGAATTAATTATCTTTATCAGTGCACTTAGTCATTTCTGAACCACCACTATCCCCGAAACGAAATGTTATGAGTAATGCATAGTAGAATTAATTTTTACAAACTGGTTCTCGCTGTAATACGTCAAAATTTATGGTCCTGACAAGATTTAAAGGTTTCCCAGACGTGTGTGTACTTAAGTTGTGACCTTCCTACGAGTATGCGTTGGATTAGAGGAGATGCTTATTTGAAGATATAAAGTGATACATCCTTTAAACTGTATTAAATACATTTTGGAATCACGCTTCGATCTGCTTGACAAAAGAAAGTAAAGTGGACGAATTGTACTTTCTCTCTAAAAAGAGCTATTACAAGAATCACCACTGCTATCGTGTAAAACGGAAGATTAATTAACGTGGAGACTTTAACGACAGGGTAGAAAGAAGAACCAATCTTTCTTCACATTTAACACTATCGGAATGGGGACTAGAAAGTGTAAAAACTCCATGGAAGTTTAAATTTGAATATTTTACTGATTCGAAATTCCTTTTATTTAGAATTTGGTTTTTAACATTGTATTAAATGAAATTGTTGATCGAGAGAAGATTACTCGAACAAAATGCCTCTGATTGATTCACCAAATTTCATTTGTCACGAAGAATCATCGAGTATTTTGAGTAAAATCATTGTAATTAATGACTGCATTTCTTAAAGACAGTTCCATTATATAAAAATAAAAAAGATCTCAAATGTGACACTTAAGACAAAGATAAAACCGTGCTTAAGGGTTAGCTGAGGTGAGTCTAGATTCCCCCTTATACATTGAAAAAGTTTTCTACAGAAAACCTTCGCTCAATTTTAATGAAGTATTGCTCATAATTTAATATGATTTACAATCTCGACAGAAAAGAGCTTAGCGCAACTCATTACTATACTGAATTGTCACACTCAGAGTTTTAGTGTTTCATTTCGATAAAATAATAATATGATTACTCCATTCTCAGCAGCTTCTCTCCTCTAAAAGTAGACATTGAAACGGACAAAAAATTGAATTCCATTTTCCCTATCTTTTCTCATACTTACAATAGATCACGCTAGGCGCAGCTAATTTATTCATAGGGATAAAACACTTTTGGCAAAGTACTTTTCTAGCACTCGCATCTAAATCAACTGTCATCCTCCGTCAGACTCTCCTGTAGAGTTCGAGGACACTCGACATCTTGCTCGTATAATTTAAGATACGAACGTACTGCCCATTCTTCGAGCAAGGATCGATAACACCCAGTCAAGTGGCTTGGCAATGAAGAATTGAAGTTATATCCCACCACATCGTATGATATGATGCCCACACGTCAAATGCAAGCCTGGACGCACTTAAATTAGCATTACATTTTCCTTCTTTAGAAAATTCTCGGTTAAAAAATTGAGAGAGGTTGCGCACCAAATTAGTTTCATATTGATTTGGACATATTGAATTATCGAACGCAAAAATTGGATGAGGCCTAGTTGTTTTACATACCTCCGCATAGACTTGATGGTTTCTGACAAGGGGTATTAACCGGGTTTTCCCACCGACCACCAGGAAAATTATTTTGTACGAAAATATATGGACTGCATTTTGCAATCTGGAACTATAAAATCTAGCCCGGTTTAAAAACAACGAATGTGCCATTAGTTTCCCTATGCACATACGTGATTTTTTAGACGAGCCAGAATGTATAGCTCCAAATAGCAAAATGCAGTCCATATAATATTCCTGTCTCAAAGAAGAGTAGTGTCTTGTAGCCCAGTGATTCTCAAAGAAGAGTCCTCAAATCTTAATAGTCATACTTACTTTTACGAGCAATTTTAAAAGCACGATTTTTCACTTTACCCTCGTGGGTGAAAAACCTTGCACAAAAATATTATTTTGAAACGCAATGCCCCTCAGAAAATGCAGTCACAATTTTCGTTCTGATTTGTTTTTTGTATGTTTTTCTACAAACTTTCACTGGGTCTAAGTATCTGTTTTAAACGAATCATGAAATAATAAATGCACTATTCCAGCAAAACTTAAAATACCTGATTCTTTTGTTTCGTTACTAATTAGTAGTACCGTGTCCATATTGGCAAAGACGATTCAATTTTAATATCGACTCAAAATAATTCTGAAAGACATCATTCAAATGTGAGAAAGAATCTCTTTATTGAGACATGGGTCCTGAGACCATAAGAATACGTGCATAACAAAGCCAATATCACAATGGAGATAGCTTCTTTTGATATATGAAGACGACCAATTACATGAGCAAACTGCGCCACTGCCAAAATAGGCCCCAAAAAGGCTCTTTTTACAGGTTTTGGGGCCTTTTTCAAGAAATTTCTCACGCACAGCCTTTCAGGGCCCTTTCGAACCTTTTCTCCTCTTTTGTATCAGGAGGAGTCTCCGATCCTCTTCCTTGGAAAGTTTGGAGACAACTCGGCCCTGGCCGATCAATGATCGAGACAATGGTGAAAACTGTATGATTCTGCAGGTTGTAGTCATAATTACTACGGCAGCTTTCTATGTATACCTCTGTGCTTTGTAATAGAAAATTGTTCCGCTTACTGTAATACAATTTTATATAACTTTTTGGAGAGCTTACAAGTAGAAAATGTTTTTATCAAAGGAGGTTATTTGCATCAACCACTATCTGCGAACCACTAATTTAAAAGACTCGACCAATATCAAAATAAAAGGGAACGTAGTACGCACCTCCAACAAAAATGCCCAAGTGATGGGGATCCCCAGACAGTGTTGCCAAAGTCTGCTGAAAATTCAGCACACCACCTCTTAACTCAACGCAAAATGACCAGGTTTTTGCACGCAATCTGACAACTTTGTCCTCAGTGTCCCCATTCAAATTAATCAATGCAAAAATATTTTACATCCTTTTATTAGGATCTGTTTATTTGGGGCCGAAGGCTCCTTTCTATGGCTGTTACAAAAATATGTCAACGGCGAAACTATGCAAAAATGCGTACCTCGGTTGCAGTTTTTCGAAATCTCTATACTACTATTTTGTATTTTAAAAGGAGACCGAAAAAACACCCTGGCTTGAAGTTTTCACAGAATATTCTTCTCGTGAATAAGAAAAAATGGCTAAAGTTTTCAAATTATTATATTCAGTAGTTTTCCAGGTATAGAAAAAAAAAAAAATGTGACAGGAAGTTTGCAATGGCCGCAAACCGAGAAACGCATTTATGCGGTTTTACCATTTATTTATTACAAATAAAATTGAAAATATTCGAGTTTGCTTCATATCGGTAACAACGTCATGTGCATTTGTATCATATTATGGGTGAAAAACTGAATCAATTACTTCAAAGGAGTACATTTAAATATACTTGGAAGAAATACACTTTTAAAAACACGTCTGGTATTATTTTTTACAGGATCAAATCGGGACTTTCTACAAATACCCAACAGAAGTTCACAAAGTTCAAACAAAAGATGGATATATTTTGACGATGCATCGACTGGCCCAAAAGAGCGAGAAACCTCCAGTATTACTCATGCATGGATTGATGGATAGCTCTGTCACGTGGCTTTTAGCAGGCCCAGGAAAAAGCTTGGGTAAATCTTTCTTGCTATACCTTTCTACATATATCTGTTCCTGAGATTTTTTTCCCCAAATCGAAAAAAAATATCTCAGATACATATCCTGCAGTAATATCTGGCACAAGGATCGTCCTGCACCTCTTTTGGATACAGTATTAGTATAATATGTGTTACGGGACGATCCCAATTTTGGGCTGTTCGTGATCGGCCTGAGAAAAACTGGGCACAATTGAATCTGGCCGGAGCACATTGCAATCGTGCACCGTAACATATGTGCCAATTCCTCTACGTCAATTCAAATCAGACACTCGTTGAATGTACCAGATCAGTTTGAGAGTCCATTTATTGATGTTAGATGTATATTCTTACAAATGGAACTACGAGATCTTTTCGCTGTAAAGTGCAGTTTTAATGAGAGGAGAAAATTTGAAGATCACCATGACAAAGAATATAATAAAACGCAACAAAAATCTACAACTAATCAGAGCTCTTATTAATACAATTTTCACAGTGCTGTACTTTTTGGGATTACTTATCAATTGGAGAACTCGAGAGAAAAAAAGTTTGGACAACGTGAAGTGCATAATTAGTCAGCATATAAATATCTGTTAAAGAGACATCTAGCCAATCTTTTCTTTTCCCAACTATTGGAAGTGTGTAGTTTTAAAAATTTACTGATGCGTCTGACCACTTTCATTATTATTGACTGAGTTGTTGAGCGTAATTAATAATTTAGCAGATCCTTCGTATGAGTGAAAAAATAGGATTACAAGTTAGAGAGATTATTCTTAGATGATTGAAAATATGGGAACAAAAAGAAAGTTGGAACATCTGCGTAATTATATTTTAATGAACTGGAAAAAGTGTTTTAGAAAAAATTTCATGATAAATATTTCATATCCTATTTCCTCAGGTTTTATGCTGTTTGATCAAGGTTATGACGTATGGATGGGAAATTTCCGAGGGAATTTCTACTCACGAGAGCATGCATATCTCCCGACATCTAGTCAAAAATTTTGGGATTTCAGGTAAAAATATTTGATCTTTTACTTAAAAATTAGGAAAAACAATCTTAAAAAATTCATCCATCCACCGGCCTCTCGATAGATATAAGGATAAATGCAGGAAAGAGACGAAGACGAGAGAGTAAAAGTAGATATGAGACTTCAACACCAACTGTGAGAAGTTTACCGCAAACATGCATGTCTGAACATCCAACTGCTTTCGTGCGCGCGGTTACGCACCAGTTTAAAGGTTGTAACAAATAAGCAATGAAGAAAATATCTGCTTCGTAACAAAGGATGCCAGATTGTATAAAAAAGAGTCACTACATTTCAAATTATCTGCGACTAGGGTTTATTTCAACATTGACTTGGCAATTGTAGCCATCATGACTAGCAAGCTTGTACCTATTTTTCAGCCGTCTCGCCTCTTTTAGCTGGTGGACGCTTTTACACGGACTGCGTTCATTGCGTCATTTAAAACTGATTTTAAGCTGTAATCAATCGTCTCTTTTTATTTTTCATACAAAAAAAATTCTTGTTTTTCGATAGGTTGAAAAGATATAGAGAGGGTTATGCAAAATGGCCAAAAAGTGACCAAGCGGGGTTTGTATAAACTAAACTTTGTAGGATGATTGTATAGGTCATTTTGGGCCTAAATTTGGCTTCAACGTTGCCATTTTTAGAGCCGTAACACTCAAATATACTACAATAATAAAAAAAGCTACCGAATTACACAAGCTGTCTGATCAGTAGTTTTGGCAATGGACCTATAGATCCATTGATTTTGATACACTCTCTTTACAATATAGATGTTTCGTTTTTGTCGGGCATCACTGCCGTTGCAGAGAGATAGATAATACCGTCGATTTGATAAATCGACAGTACCAACTACAGACAGAATAAGGCTGTAAGCGTGTGGCTGGACGTGATTAAATGGATAATATTCAATGCCGGCAACTCCGCCTTGACGTGAATTCCTAAAAATCCTGTCAAAGTTTCAAAAAAGCGCAAAATATGAACTGGCTTTTCGAATTTTGTTTGGTTCATGCGTTTTTCTCCCACACGGAGTCGCGAAACGTACGGGAACGAGCATCAAAATCGGGTTTCGGGTGTGCTGACGAATTTTTAAATCAATATAACTCAGATTCTCTAAGCTTTTCGGAAAATTATAACATAGCAATGGATGCGAAATCGAACGAACAATCATTTTGACAGGCTTTCGTTCAATCTTCTAAGTCAAATGCTTCCATACACTCATCTTCGCGCTTTGTCAGTGCCCCACCAAGGTTCGGTGGAGTCGAAAACTAACCAAATCAATAAACGGGAACGAGCAGGCTTTGACAGATAACTGATTGCATGATCAGTTATGTTGGCTAGCTATCGAGTCAATCCTTGGCTCTTCCAAGGCAAGGATTGGTATTGATTTTACCGGCACAAGCGCAGAGGAAATCATACCCGAGCGCTTTTATGTTGAAAATAAAATGTTACTACTTTACCAACAAAAGAAAAATTATCCGTGTTCCTTCCATTTTTTTAGAGTTTTCCCCGTAAATTACAAACCATCAGAGGGGTCGTTGGTAGTTCCGTCATTTTTTGAAAAATTTGATCTTTTGAACAAAATTTATGAAGCATAATTCTTCGTTTGAAATTTGACTGACGACAGTAGTTGTGAGGCTTGTGTTTTTGACTGCAAAACGCGATAGACAGGAAAAAAAATTGCTTGGATACAGAGTTCAGACTTTTAATAACATGCAATGACTAGAAACAATACCCTTGATTCAATCCGATTTTTCCTTGAATCGAAGAGCCAAGCCTCTTGATTTAGGCGGAGTTCCCTTTAATTCCAGCCAAAGGTCCGATTGAATCAAGAGTATTCTTTTGACAATGTTTTTAAGAATCTAGACTCTAGATCCAAGCGACTTTTTCTCCAGTGTATGACGTATGATATCACTGAAAGGCTTGAAACTCATGCTGCCGTGCATGCTAAGGAAGAACGCCATATGAACATTCGAGAGTTGCCAAATCGCCCCAGATAAAATATGTATTTTTAAGACAAAGTATGCGTATTTATCCTTGAAAGTTTCAGAAATTTTAGACAAATTTGCGAACAAAATTGTCTGAAAAAAGTGAAGAAAAACATTTAAAATTTGTCCAGTAAATAAGGTTTTTTATTGAAGGGAATTTGGCAACGTCTGCAGGTTCATACGGCGTTTTTCCTTAGCACGGTAACATGGTACTCGAGACCGATAGAGGGGCTCACCATGCTAGTGTGACCCCGGCTTTGGTCAATGGGGCTGAAATTGCTTTGTCATGAACCTAAACCAAAGTTCTACTCATCGTTGCCAAATATACTTGAAATGCTTTGTTTCCATCACCAGTAAGACAGTAAAATGCATATTTTCGAGACAAAGTCGTCAACGCTGTCATTCGACGCGTTGCGCACACGCTCACTTTCCAAAGCTCTTAGCCTTCTCTGCGGTCAAATGTTAAATGAAGCAGATAAGGTGTTGTCATTGCACGCCGAAACTGAAAGCATTCTTTCCGCAACTTCGGTCACTTCCAGTAGAATTCCGGGCCGTTGGAATTAGTGCTAAGATTTTGTTTACCTTTGTTAAGTATTTCATTAAGAAGCAACCGGAATTTTAAGTATTATATTCTCTGTCTCAGAGAAAATCTTGGAAAAGTGCATTTTTTTTGTTGTCACTTTCGAATTATACATCGATGGCTAAAGTGCGAGCTATCTCCATTGCGGTGTTTGAAAATTTCCGCTTCTATTTTATTTTTTCGAGGAGAAACAAGCTAACTTTTGACATTTTTACAGAATATTCTGCTATCAGAGACGATAAGTTAAGAAAGATATCGACTATGCGATACGCGTTGACTAGTTTTCCAGGGAAATCATGACACATGATAGGAAGTCTGCAACGTCGCAAACGGAGATATGTGGTTTCACACTTTGGCCTTCAATTTGTAAAAATATTTGATATGCAGAGATTAGCCAACCTTCCTTCAAAACTAGAATACGAGGGCTGCGTATTTCTGTAAAAAGATCAAAGTTTGACCTAGATTCGAAATTTTACTTTTGGTGTGAAGAATGAATCTTAAACTTAAAGACATCATCTCTAAAAAGCAGTTGAGCTAAATATTGTGATGCTCTTCTGAACATTTAATGAGAAATCGACGGAATCATTACGGTAGTTGCAGATTGCTTTGCACAACAAAAATGACACATTTTTGGGGAAAAAACCTAAATCTATTGAGGTTTCATTCAATACTATCATGTTTAAGGTGAGCATATCTTATTTGCTGTATTTACATAACGACCAGCTGCCAATTTTAACTATGTATTTAACTCTTATTCCTAACGTGTTTTTTCTGAGCAGTTGGGATGAAATGGGACGGTTCGACGTACCTGCCTTCATAGACCATATACTGCAAGTGACAGGAAGAGACCAGCTTCTACACATAGGCCATTCAATGGGTACGACAACTTTCTACGTGATGGCATCAACGCTACCCGAATACAATGAAAAAGTCCTCGCGCATATTAGCTACTCACCCATCGGTTTCTGGAGTCACACGAACAGTGCATTTTGGAGAAGCACTGTGCCCATTGAGAAGGCTTTCTACGTAAGTGAACACTCGTTTTTTAACAGAAATCAACACTGCCGTGCTAAGGAAAAAAGCCGTATAAGCCTTCAGACGTTGACAAATTTTCTCTGATGAAATACGGATTTTCAAGGGAAAATGTGTAAAATTTTCTCCAAATTTTTCAGAGAATTTTGTTCGCAACTTAATCAACAATATCTGAAAATTTAAAGGAGAGATATTTTTTTTCTCAAAAATGAATATTTTATGAGGGAAAATCTGGCAACACCCGGATGTTTATACGACGTTTTTCCTAGCACAGCATTTTAGAGAACAAACTTTCGGAGTGCTTGTCACGCTAGCATTACGGTCAGCCATGAAACTTATCTATCTTCCTTCGAGATTTCCATTTCTCAGCCCCCGCATTTGTCCAGAACTCGATTATTTTAAAAATTTGATCTCATTTTGCTATTAGGAACCACCATTTCTTGCTCATTTATAGTTGCACTTATCTGCGAGGGAAAGCGTATGGTGCATCCGTGTTTCTAACATGAGCCGGAAATATTAGTTTCTTATGGCAAATCGTACTGCAATTAATCCTGGAAGAAATAAAAATAATGTAGTGAGATGAGATCTCTGAGAGTCCATGCAGAGTATGCAAGCATTTCAAAATCACGAGTTGAAAAACGCTGACTCTGCGAGTTTAAATATTAGAGCCAAACAGAGCGGAGCGGCGTGCACTGCGTGCAGCCAGCGCGAGAGGCTCACTGACGCCTGCAAACCTAAAGAGATACTTCACGCATTGCGCAATGTTTGAAGTATCTACTTAGGTTTGTAGGCGCCAATGCGTGTTCCGCGCTGACCGCCCGCTCGCCGTGCCGCGGCATGGCTCCTCAAGCAACTATTTCACAACAAAGGTGTTGCTTGGTATCATTCGAAATTGAAGACGCCCCAACATATGAAGAATGACGGGCATCCTTTAAGAATACGCAGCGTTCTCCGGAAAATTAATCAAGATGCTACGGCACAAAGAGAAAGCGGTAGTCCTAAAACTCATCAAGTCCTAGCATCCGTATTTAATAAAGTTTAGCATAACTTTCAATATTCAATAGAGAAAAAAGTGACTCGATTTAGTCAGAAAAATTCCAGTGTATGCCGTCAAAAATATTTTATTTTGAGTCTCAATAATAATTGGTACGTGAACCAAAACTCCCCTGCCGAAAAAACGCGTGGACGTAAACTACTGGAAAAAGCAGGTGCGCTGACAAAAAATCCTTGACAAAATGTCCTGTAACCCACGGGACAGTAATACAATCACCAGTCCACCTCACTATACAGGGTTATCCAGAAGTCTGGGACCCGCCTTATAACTTATGAATAAAAAATGATAGAGATTTGAAATTTGGGGAATATTCCTAGGTCAAAGGGAACTACTTTTTGGCGTACCCAAAATTTTGGGGGGCGCCCCCCCTGAGGGGGGGCGGACCCTAACTTTTTTTTTCAAATGGGAACCCCTATCTTGTGATACATCATTCGAAAGGGCTTAAAAAAAGAAAACTTTTGGCGCAAAACGATTGTCGATACCTCCATTTTTAACAAAATGGCGGCCAAAAAATGGCGGCTCATTCAAAAGTCTGGGCTTCCGCTCATAACTCATGAACAAAAAATGCTAGGGATTCGAAATTTGGGGAATATTCCTAGGAGAAAGGGAACTACTTTTTGGCGTACCCAAAATTTCGGGGGGCGGCCCCCCTGAGGGGGGGGCGGACCCTAACCCTTTTTTTTTCAAATAGAAACCCCTATCTTGTGATACATCATTCGAAAGGGCTTGAAAAAAGAAAACTTTTGGCGCAAACCAATTGTCGATACCTCAATTTTTAACAAAATGGCGGCCAAAAAATGGCGGAAATGCGTTTTTTGGTTATTTACCGTCGGATTCGCTTGAAACTTGGTTTCCACAGGTTTTCCGGCACGAAAAAAACAAATACGATATTGGATTTGCAAAATACCCGAGCTTTTCCAAGATGGCGGCCAAAAAATGGCGGGAAAATAAGTTCCCAACGACGGTAAATAACCAAAATCCGCATTTCCGCCATTTTTTGGCCGCCATTTTGTTAAAAATTGAGGTATCGACAATTGATTTGCGCCAAAAGTTTTCTTTTTTTCAAGCCCTTTCGAATGATGTATCACAAGATAGGGGTTCCTATTTGAAAAAAAAGGGTTATTGTCCCCCCCCCCTCAGGGGGGCCGCCCCCCGAAATTTTGGGTACGCCAAAAAGTAGTTCCCTTTCACCTAGGAATATTCCCCAAATTTCGAATCCCTAGCATTTTTTGTTCATGAGTTATGAGCGGAGGCCCAGACTTTTGAATGAGCCGCCATTTTTTGGCCGCCATTTTGTTAAAAATGGAGGTATCGACAATCGTTTTGCGCCAAAAGTTTTCTTTTTTTAAGCCCTTTCGAATGATGTATCACAAGATAGGGGTTCCCATTTGAAAAAAAAAGTTAGGGTCCGCCCCTCCTCAGGGGGGGCGCCCCCCAAAATTTTGGGTACGCCAAACAGTAGTTCCCTTTGACCTAGGAATATTCCCCAAATTTCAAATCTCTATCATTTTTTATTCAAAAGTTATAAGGGGGGTCCCAGACTTCTGGATAACCCTGTATAATGGGAATGTATACGTGTGCACCACCGCTGTAGGTTATTCTAATTCATTTTATTTGCATTTTACAGGAATTCTACTTGAAATCAAAGAACGGCGCGATACTTATGAATGATGAAGCAAACACGCTGAAAACATTCTGTTTCTTGAATTCGGGCACCGCGCGCACATGTAAAATGCTGCTCCATCTTGCGGCTGGTTTCAACGACAATCTCGATGACCCAGTGAGTGTATAAAATACTTCATTCTTGCTGAGGGAATAGCTAATTATGATGATATTGAGTCCACGTGTCATATGAACAGTTGGTTTTTTGGTCAAACCAACGCAGTACCACTGCCTTCCCATGCAGGGTGGTTATTTACTTGTCTACTCTATTAACCTTGACACGCGCCAGCTGATTTTCAAAAAAATCATCAGAATTCACTGTATTTTTCTTAAAGCGGGTCTAACTAGACCCAACTGTTTTTCCCGGCCGCGTGGTCGTGAATTTCGTATCAAACGGCGACTCTCTCTGAGGATTAAATTTGGTTTCTCCAGAGACAAAAGATCCTCCTTTGGCCTCTTTGGCGACAACGGGATGCTTTTACTTCCGGAGATCCGCCACTTCTATAATGAACTTTTTTATGGGAGAAATTACCTACTTGGTGGATGATGAGCTACGGGTCAGGTAATGAGCCAAACAAGTTCGCCAAACTTTATGTTCGCGAAACGAAATACCCAACACATTGTTCAACAGCCACCAAGTAGGCAAGGTGAACAATTGATTGTTCGGGCCCCGAAAGTAAAAGTTTCGTTTCAAGAAGGAAGGAACTAAGCAACACCAGCTTTTGCCATATTTAATCGGGTAATTTAATATTTACATGAAAACGGTCGAACGGATATGTTTTGCAAATTTCTGTGAATTTACAGCATAGTACGAATCAAATTCCATAAAATTTTCAGGGATCCGCACAAATTCTTTCTTGTAAAAAATTAAATTGCCCAGTTAAGTTTAGCAATAACTTGGACTTGGTTCCTTTCTGCTAAACTAATTCAATTGGGGGTCTCTTCTGGGTCGCCATTTTACTTACATCATGATAAACTCCTCACATTTTTTAAAAGGCGCGTGCACGTTGGCCTTAAAAAACAATTGCCACACCGGTTATCGAAAATACGTCAATACATACTTTTGATTACTTTATTTTTATTGTTTTTTATGAGGACTGTCTCAAAAGAAAGTAACTTTCGGTCATAACTGCAAACGTATGGCATTAAATTTTAAAATATAAAATCTCTTTCAAATTCGTTATATTTTCAGATTTTTAACGCTTCTTTTTCGATCTAGTTGGTGGCGTAAAATTTTGGACTAGTTTGGTGTAAATGTGAGTGAGTGCACAGAAAACGACTTCTTTGACGCACTAATGGTCTGAATATGACACACTTCATCGCGTCATAAAATTAAGAGTAAGCCCAAAAAAAGGAAACTTTTTTATAAATTTTAATTTTATGCAGTGGTATTTAAGGCACAAAAAATTGTCTAATTTGGTGACGACTCTCGTATTTATTTTGTCGAAATAAATTCATCATTTCTTATTAATTTGTAATGAATGAATCCCAATGAGGTGGTCTGTTTCAAATATTATCCTTTCTCATTTTTATCGTAGAAATGAAATTTCCCAAGATTCAAAACCTAGTCTCAGCAGAAATCTGATTTTAAAATTTCCGTCAAACCGCATTTTGTGTTTTAGAATGTACGGTTTGACTTATTCTCTGTATGTTGAATTTTTCACTATTAATAATATGAATTTTCCTTTCAGACCGTGTTCAGCGTTTACCTGAATCATGTTGGGTCTGGGTCGTCAATAAAAACAGTGATCCATTACACGCAACTTGTCAAATCAGGTCAGTAGAGGCATGTGCCTATAAATTCACGTTATGAACGAACTCCTAGGAATTCACAGTATCTCTTGTCGTATCTGCTAGTTTGAAGGGGACTTTATTGACCCAACACTCTCTGCGCAAAGATGGGTCGGTATTCGTTTGCACAGCAGCTCTAAATACCATGATCCGCAGCGAGTTATGGCAGCCAGACTTTTGAATCCCTTGGTCAGTGCAGGGCCGGATTTAGGGGGTGGCCACATGGGCTGCGGCCCATGGTGGAAAATGTTGCAATTTTTTAAATGTAGGTATGAAAAAAATTGGATTCAGAAAAAAATAACAAACGAGAAAAGGCGACAAAATTTCTCATTTCCAGAGAGTATAGTAAGTTCTAATTTTGTCGTCTTTCGGTGATGCAAGAGACAGCACCTTTAATTAGTCGAGTTAAGAGGGAAACCAAACACGCAATTTGGCCTGGAACGGCGCGGGCGCAGAGAGCGATGATGACGAGGACTTGAGATGAAAAGTAGAAACCCTCGGCGTAGCGGTCGGCATGTAGCATATATTAGCGCCTACAAGACTCCATGAATACTTCACTCATTGCGTCAAACTTAGTACGTGAGCACTCAGCAGTGGTCAACGTGAAACGCACAGCGCCTACAAGACTCCATGAATACTTCATGCATTGCATCAAACACAGTGCGGTCAGTGCGGCGCGGCGCGGCGGCAGAAGTTAAACTTATAAAACCACATTTACGATTGTTTTTTCATAATTTTTTGGTTCATTTCTTATGGAAGGCCTTGTCCACATGGAGATAGGTTTGCGGAACTTAACTTTTGCGCAAAGTTCCGAGAACTTTTGCTAGTAGTGTTGACAGGGCTTCCGCAAAAAAATGTTTCCAACACAAGTAAACGCAACTTATGCACACCTCCCCCTCCGGATCGTTCACTTGATGATTTTTATTGATGTTTCAAAACGAATGAGAAGGGGCGGCAAAATACAGGCGGCCCAAGGGCGGCAAGTAGGTAAATCCGGCCCTGAGTCAGTGGCGATTTCGCAAGTTGGCAAGACAGTTTTTCCTCCATTTGAAGTCATTAAAAATATCGATTTAAGGTGAGGCAGCTTGCCTCACCAAGAATCTGTTGTTTTACGTACATTTAAATGGAAGAAAAATGGTGCTACCATCTTTCCAGAATCGTCACTGCGCTCAGTCAGTTCTCTCCATTCAAATCCATGCGACTGAATAAAATTTAAAATCATATAAAATTATTTTTATTTTAATAAAAAATTCAAGAAAACAAAAATTTTTTAGATCCTTTCCATCAGCAGTAAGTTCTGCGCATTCTTGACGAGCCCCCGTCTATCATTAATTCGTCTAATTTCTTGTCTTTTATAGGTCGTTTTCGCGAATTCGACTATTATAACGTCAAGAAGAATAAAGCTCACTATGGTGTGTCGAAGCCACGAGATTACAATATTACCAACATCTCAGCCCCTGTTTTCTTCTTCTACGGAGCCAATGATGTTATAGCTTCACCAATTGTGAGTATTCCCTGAATGAGGCAACTTTCAATCACGAGATTCAAAAGTAGGCTCATCGTAAATAATGACGTTTAACTGAAAATATCAACAAAGTATACATTTTTACGTTTCTCCGGGCTACTAGTATAGTTCAGAAACCATCCGTAAAGTAATAGAGATCGAAGGTGAGTCAGAGACAAGTTTGATAATGTCAACTCAAAAATTCAAAATTTATATTCTGTTTCTATCAAAAGATTTCGGAATTTCTGTTTTTTTGCATTCTAATTTTTGGAAAAATATCCGTAAGAAGTCATTTACTGATGTTCTTCCCCAACTTTAACTTTAAATTATCTTGAAAAAAGGAGGGAAAAAAGAAACCACATGACGAAAACTTGCCTTCGTGCTAACTTTTTAGTTTTTTCCTTTGGTGGTCCACCTCTCTACAAAATTTTGCGATGAACTTTTTGAGTAGTGTTATGCTTCGCACCAATAAAGACCCGAATGAGCACAACATTTTTCAAATACTTTTTTGACCTTTTCTTCACCGATGATTATTTTACTAGAAACGTTACTTTTGACTTTACTTACTAGCGTAACTTTTCAAAACATACATATGAAGTGTGGTGACTCTGCAGTGATTTCTGAGAAATTGAACGCATCATACTATCCTCATGACGAATCTCTCAGTCTTCTACTCAAGAATGACCGTAATTACCTTTTTTTTATTTGCATTTTTTTTTCTTGTTGCAGGACATATACAAACTGTATCGAATGCTACCAAATCCAATTGGGATCCAAAAAATTGAAGACCCCGATTTTAACCATCTTGATTTCACCATGGGTCCAACCGCCGCCAACCTCGTCTATAAGAAAACTATTAAAATTATGGATAAATATTCTAATTCGTCGCAAGCATTACTCTGGCGGCAAAATCGAGTTTTGCGGAAGACACCAGAAATTGTAGAAAAATTAGAAAGTTCCCCCAAACTTCCCTCGCCTACAAAATCAAGTCCGGAAGCACCTAAAAAAACTCCCCTGAAAATGACCCGTGGCCTCAACTCTAGGAGAATGAGGGGTAGAAAATTCTCCTTCAAATTAACCTGAGCTCGGAGAAGCTATAAGCTCATCCCCAAACTGAACTTTTGGCGGGAGTAGCGAGCAATGATTCGCAATAAAACGATAAAGTTGTCGTGAGGTGCAAGTTTCGCGAATCCAATGATGCGGAACAGAGATCAAACACGGTGATAACTGTAAAATATTTGATATTTATGAAACGTCTTGATACGCTGTACAAAAGGAAAATTTACAGCCGACATTTCCAAATATTTTAATTTTTTTTTTTATTTGCTAAGAAACGAGTTCTGAAGTGTGTCTCCGTGTGAAGATTGAGTGTGTGTTCCGATGTTCATACTATGTATCGTCGAATTGAATTCATTTCCATAGTCACCGTCATATTACGATGATGCATGTGCCTCAAAACATTGAATTGATCTGTCGCAGTGAAAAGGAGACGATTCGTTCTGTTTCAAAATTGAGGCTCTTGGATTAGTTTAACATGCGTATTCGCAATTTGTAAATAGAACGGGTAGTCAGGACTTTCTGTCAAGTTCTATTGCTCGTAAAAATGTTAATCATTTCGCCCTGGCGACAAAACAACTGAACTGAACGCAAGATTGGATATCAACGGCTAAATTAAGACAGCCTTCGATAGGACCATTCTCAAAGATTGCATGGAGGCACGTGAAATTGTATCTTCCAGTTTTGAAGGTGCTTATATACTCCGGTGATATGATGTACGGATTATGCGGAATGATTAGTATCTTTTCTTTGCAAGTCACGCATACACAAAACAATTTATTAAGACTGATTAAAAGCATGAGATGAAAAGTTAGTAATATTTCGATTGGAATGGAATTTTTGAAGAACCACCCATTCACCATTTTCATTCCAAGTCTTTGTTACCAATTCTTTTTGAAAGAAATGTAGAAGTTTCATCTGATATTTTAAACTTTGATTTGCATTGAAATTAACATTTCAACGGATGCTCTATGTTTTATCTGAGGTATATTGGAGGGAGGAAAAGTCTGTTATACAGGACCTCGAATCTAATTGGTGACAATTGTTCCTTCTCCTTGCTTTCCAAATTCATTGGATCAGATATTAGCTACGGCAAACAAAGCTTGTCAATTAATACCACGAAGTTGTAAATTATTGAGTCCTAACAGCTCCTTGCCACTTTTTCATAGTAATGCTTCTGCTGGATCCTAATCCTTCAGAATGGTTATACTTGCAATACAAGATAGATTTAAGCGTCGAATTTTTCATGTGTGGATAATTTATTTGTTGAGATTTTTTTATCATAAGGATGCAGGAATTTTAAACAAAATATCTTATATGAACAAGCTGAAGACAAAAAAACCTCATCCTCTAGGAAAACATGTGGAGCTTTAAAGTTTGATATTTTTCATTTTGAAGTTGTAAATATTTTTAAGTACTGTAAAAATTAGTAAAAAAGAATGACGCCGTAAAGTAAAACCTCAGATAATCGCGGAAGACGGTGTTAATGTCAGAGGAAACCACTTTATCTTTTGAAGAAGAGACCCCTTTGATATGTCTGGAAGAGTTACCTGTTCCACGTAGAGGATGAAATTTACGGAAATATTTAATTTAAAAAAAAAAATACTCAACTAGCGTGTACAACTGTACATATGTTACCAAGTAGCCTGTTAAGGTGCAATCCAGAGTATCTGGGACGACGACTTTGTTCTCAGGATAAGACTCATCGTACCTTAACAAAACCAATGTGATACGAGACTGTACAAATGTGTAACATAATTTATATATAACTACCCTCCGAGCTTAAGAACATTTAAAGTTGTGCTTAATTTATTTCAATAATGATCCTGCTCAATTTGACCTGAATTTTTAGTTATGTACGTTAATTTTACGCGTCAATTTTGTTTTTCACTCGAATTATCAGAGATGATGATATGATGAAGCGCCGAGTTGCAAAAGCTGCGATCCCATTCTGCTGTCTAATAATTGGAATTTATTTTAATTTAAATTATTAATTATATTGAATAACAGTGAGCCAATCTCTGCGTACTTTCTCAAGAACTCTCTATTTATTAGCGTGAAATTAATGACAGTAGCAAGAAGTTATATTGTCTACTCCTTTTCATCCATTACTCCTACACATTATTGCAGCTACCAAATTTTTAGACGGCGGAATGGGGGTTGTGGCCCTTAACCTTCGGCAGTTTAAATGTTGTATGTATAAAACATGTTCCTAATAAAAGGTTTCTTTTTCTCGTGATAAAACGCTTCTCCCTTTCATTTTCTCATGAATTTTAGGAATTTTTCTTGCTCCTGAAATCTTTTGATTTACTCGGTGCTGGCATCGAATAAATACTTTCTTTGGTCAAGAAAAAACTTTTATATCACAAAGAATTTAAAACTAGAGCCTCTTTCTGTCAATGGCTCATTGTTGTCATGAAGTTCTCGCCAGGGTGTGAGATTTTCAATTTTAGTGGATTTAAAGCGACAAAATCTTGTTACATTCAAAAAAAAGCTCAAAAATCGCAAAAAAGCTAAAATTTTATCCTTGCCAGAACTCTGCAAATTTCTCATTCATATGAAGAGCTCGTCGAAACCGCTCTCTGGTCCACTCGAGAGATGATACGTAAAATAGGATTCTATTCGATGGCGAAGCAACGACGAATCAGCCAATCAACGACTGCCGTCCTCTGTTAGAAGGCGGTAATGAGGAAAATTAGTTTTCCATGAGGAAAGTTTAACATTCCCAGCTAAAAAAGGCATCCTTAGACCCCATAATGAAAATCTTGTAAACTTCAGTGTTGATGCTGATAGGTCCCTCTACATAATCGAACGAAATATTGAAACTTACGGCTAAGCTCATAGACAGCCTTCAATGCGAGTATTCTCAAAGATTGCGTAGAAGCACATAAAATTGTATCTCCTCTGTTTTGAAGGCGCTTATATACACTCCAGTGATATGATGTGCGTCATTTTCCTTGCAAGCCACGCATACATAAAAATGACTGTCCTCCTTTCACGGAGGCTTGAACGAAGACCTTTAGTTTTCAATGGGAAAGTTCAACGGTCTTAGCTAGAAAAGTCATTCTTAAACCCTAAACTGAAAATCTTTTAACTTTACTATTGACAGCCGTATTTCTTGCTTTTTGTATAGAAGAAGAGTACAGTAAAATTACCAATTCTAGCGCCCGACCGAGTGGGTTGTATTTTGCAAAAATGAATCAATGCATTCCAATTCCTTTGGCATTCCAATGTCGCTAAGATTGTACAGCTTATTATACACTGCAAATATAAACTGATCATTTAAACAAGTTTAATCTTTGCTCTCAATAATCTATGAATTCAAGACGAAAATTACAATGGTAAATTTGAATTTTTGCATGGTTTTCAGTAATTTTTTGCAAGATAATGTGTGTTGCACAATCCTAGGAACATCGGAATTTTCTTGGTTGATTTTTGCAGAATACAATCCTAGTATTAAAACCCTATTTTTCTGTTTGGTGGACCACTAGCCGAGGAACGCAATTAAGCATTTTTATGTACAAATATACTTTTCCTTCAAAATTTTACGTCAGGGCACGATTTTTGCAACATAAATTTACCATGATCAATCCCTACCCAAGATATTAACATTTTTATTTATAGTAGGTACCACTTGCAAAAAATTTAATATCCCGGTCACAAAAAACAAGAATCCACGTGAATCAAATCACGTACCTATTCTCAATCAAACATTGTGCCTTCCTGTCGTGTGTTGTTAAAAGTGTGAACAACTTACAACAGCGGAACCAAAGCGCCGAATATGATATATTGTCATACTGTCGTAGAATGTAACAGTAATGACATTAACATGCGATTAAAGTCATCCAGTTTTTTTGTTGGTGGCTGTTGAAATTTATACATGGAAAAACGTTAATATCCTGTTTATGAGTTATTTTCAATAATATTCGTTTCATCAATAATGTTCTACACGAAATTTTTACGAGAAAACATTTGGAAGAATGCTATAATTCGCACCTTGTCTAGTAGTTCATTTCCATTGCCGAGGAGCGTTATGGAAGTATCGTGGAAGATGCCTCCTTGATAATTTGCATTTCACGAACTATTCTGCGGATTCTCATTTTTATGTGAACTTATTGAGGTTTGAGTCTCGGAATGGAAAAATAACAAGGCTTTGGTTTATTTTTTTCTTTTATAAGCTCAAAGAATTCATCATCTTAATCATTTTTCTATAAATTAATTTATAAGCTTTGGGATCGATTGTAAAGTCGATGTGATTAAATAATGTGTCTTGAACGAGGTGAAGTCCTATAGGATTCCGCAACTGTGTATATAACTTTATCACATCCTGGAACAAAAACACAAGTACAAAATAAATAAATACAAATAAAATAAATAAAAACAACAGAGTGATAGCAAAAAATATAAGATTTTTCTCTACTAATTTTTGACGTGGGTTTTTTTTTTAAAATATTGAAGCTTCGAATTTTGTTTTTCACCATAGCATCATTGTTACTTCTTTATAGTTCACCGTGGGATGTCACAAAACTTCTCTCCTTGAGGACTCAATTCTCTTCATAATTTGGACTCATGGAAGTGTTCATTTTAATGGACACAACTATATTTGTATAAGCGTTCCCCCTGATCACCACGATCAAGAGGTCCAACATCTACAAAAACTTCACGCTCTCACAGCTTTCATTCACCACGAGGTCCTACTTTAGCCAATACAGTACGCCCATTTGTGATTTTTATGACTTTAAAAATATCATAGTTACCAAAGGAACTGAGACAGCATCATTGGCAGCATAATAAAATTGCACTGGAACTGTGATCGCTGAAACGTTGTACTCAGGTGGTCGTGCCGTTCCGTATCGCAGATAATTCCTTTTCATGTCATGCGAATCATAATTGCAAAATCTCCCTGAGAAAAAATACACAATCTTTGAATGAACTTATACTGTGTTACATGATTTTTGTGAGTATTAAATTATCAACGGCAATAGAAGTATATTAGGCTTTGTATTTAAGATCAAAAAAAGAAAAGCAAAACAAATCAATTTATGTTTAGATACTTTGCCAATATTTGCCGTGGAAGAGTATAATGGCCTGGTCACACGCTCAAATTTCCGCCAAATTCCGATCAAAATGATGACCAAGATGGCGGTCGAGAGTTATCTAGATTGATGAGTAAAATTAATTAAAACAGCAAATTGATTGAAATAAACATGAAATAAGCACAGTTGTGTGGAAATCAGATGAAGGATGAGTCCCACAGTCCCATCATCTACCATCAAAGTTTTGCAGGCCGCAGAAATTTGATGGTAGATGGTGCGCACCAGTCACCATTTGATCGGAAATTGATGGGTATTTGAGCGTGTAACCAGGACATAAAGGAGGATTTTATCAAATTATATTAAATTTAAACAAGTATCTATCATTCGATTCATATGGTCCTTGTAAAGCATTCTCAAATACGACGGGACGGTATGATTATTCGGATAAACATCTAATTCGCATCAGTTAAGTGACCAATGTTAAACGAACCTGATTTCATAAGCTGAGTATAGTGGTTGAAAGCTTTCACAGAAGTGCCGGCAGGAATATGTGCTGCTACAACATTATAAATAGTCTGTAACGTCAGAAACAAAACAAAAATTGGTTTATAAAATTAAATAGTGAAGCCCGAGTTTTGGTGAGTACTTACAAAATTTCAAAAAAGGTACCGCATGTGGATAAAAAAAACTATTTCCTACTCTTAAAACACATGATATCATACAGAAATCCGTAGATATTTACAGTTTCAAACTTTACAGTTGATATAGCAATTAGGGCTTGTAGATACCTTGATATTTCTCTCGGAAAATCACGTGATTACTACTATTGTTGCGGTGCGTATCGATATTTTGGAAAAATATGGGGGGGAGGGTATGCCACCTGACCGCTTCGCAGTTTAGGCCCCTGGATCGCTTCGCGCCTCAGACGTTTATACGTTACGTATTACTCTTATGATTTAGAGTAAAATACGATTTGCGCACTGGAAAAAAAAACACATTGGATCTAGAGTCCAGACACTTAAAAACATCGACAAGAAAAAGTACTCTTGATTCAATCAGAATCTAGCTTAAATCAAGAACCAAGCCTCTTAATATAAGCGGATTTTGTTTTGACTCAAACAAAAATCCGATTGAATCAAGAGTATTTTTTCTTATCAATGTTTTCAAGAGTCTGGACTCTAGATCCAATGTCTTTTTTTTCCAGTGGGTTCGAACTTCTGGAATTGACGAGAACCTACCTCGTTTCTCAAAACGTTGCTAAATCCAAAGGAACAATGAAGAAATAATTTACAGAGTCTTTCCGTGCTAGGATTCATTGTGCAGAAATCACGGATGGACTCCGCGTCCTGATCCACCAAAAAACCTCCGTGGTTCGTCTTGTGCATAAACTCCTGCAAAGAAGAAGAAATATCACATGAAGTTTAATTTCAAGCACCTCAACACGATATTGTTTGAAAAAATAAAATAAAAAATAAATAATTGGAAAAGAAATAAGTGAATTAATGTTTCAAAAAATAGAATTAAAAAGTTTAAACCAGGTGAATAAATGCCTGAATCAGAACAAGAATATGTAATCATATTTTGAAAATATATCATAAACTTGATGCACAAATTTAAAAAGAAGAAAATGTGTGGTCTAACTACTCAACAGCAAATAAAGCAGGGAATGTCGACGTCTCCACTTTTAATTGCCCCTCCTTCAAACTGTTTAATTTCCCCGTCATTGCCTTCCGCTTCCCCCTTACCGTCTTTTTCTCAGGATTCTTCCATTACACACCCTTCTTATTTTTCAAAAAATTCTGGTTTTGTCGTGATGCTTTTTATTCGGCACAAATTCTGCAGTGATTCAAACCAATGTAATCGAAACCAATTTTCCCTTAACATTTTAGTAAATATGTGCCCCCAGTTCATGATAAATAGTAGGAGTTGGACAGAATTCCAGCATGAACTAGATTGCTTAAAAGTTCATTAGATTTTTAAATTTTTTATTTAAATTTGCATTGTAGACCTCTCTCAGCAGTTAGTAGACTTACGGATTTTTTTATCATATCTGAAGAAATATTCCCTTAAAATTGAAATCATTTAGGGATTTATTATTAAAATTATTTCATCACTCTCAAGCCAAATAAATGTAGATATTTTACATTTTACTTACGGATAAAGCCATCTCAACAGGCGCCAGAATTTTCCAAAAGAAACTGGCCGAGTTACCCCAGTATCCAACAGGTGACAGCGAGAAGTGGGCGACAAATTTTTTGTTGTAACTGGGCATTGATGAAGTAAGAACGAAAAAAGTGGTGGTACCCATCGAATGACCAATGTGAAATAGTTTCGGTCGCCCTGTTCGGTGTAACACATAGTCCACCATGGCCGGTAAATCTCGTTTTCCCATCTCATCCCAGCTGAAAAACCAGGTTATCAAAATAAAGTCGAATTTTAAAGAGAAGAAGCAGGATGACAGAGTTATTGCAAGTTTTGCAAGATTTATTAGCAAATTATAGAATAGTGTTTCAAATTTTAAGACTGCAATCCCTCTTAAAATGAAATTTAGCGGAAATGTATAGCAGAGTAAATATCAGTGAGTGAATGTATGGTTTTTGGGACTTTGTAATTACTCACGGTCTTTCTTAATCGAACAAAAAATATAATTGGGGGGAAAAAATTATTGTCACACTATACATGTAAACTGGCCGATTGCTGCAAAAACTTCTGTTTGATTCCTGTCATTATCAATCGCATTAAAGTTTGCAATAAATAACTACAATTTCTGGCTCATCCGCAAAAACTCTAATGTGCATGTGGAAACTAGTAGCTCACACGTTGTTTGTAAACTGAGCCGGAAATTATAGGTCCTTATTGCAAAATGTTTGTAATCTTAATTTGTATTTATGAATGTAATTAGAGTCACATTTATACTTTAAGTCTCCTTATCAACGTTCGTTTGTGCGCATAAAATACACTGTATTATTCGCTGAAACCACAAGACAAAACAAACGCCGTGATTGAAGCGAGTCTGCAATGCAAACTCTGATGTTTTGCTTGTTGCGTGTACTACTGTTTCAAGACGATATCTAGAGAATCCTTTTTATCCATTCCTCGATGGATGGATTCTCTGCTATTGATACGACCGACGACTTATAGTTAGCACATATGGTATAGCTCCTCGCCAGTGGCGTGATATATATGTAATTTACGATATATCGATTTATCTGCCATTTAAACCTATGGGAAAGGATCGATAAACAGAATGTTTGTAACGAACACCTTAAGAATCGATTCTTTGCCATAGCTTCAAATGGGTAAATCCCCATAATGGGTCTTTAGTAGAAGCGCCCCACCACGGCAATATTGTCGATCAACTTTCGAGACACCCGGTGGACGCTTCAGGTGGACGGCTGGTTGAGTGCGGTTGCAAAACGGGTAAACAAACTGCAGCCGGAAAATGATGGGTGGGGAGGGAGGAAGAATGTGTGAGGTCGGTGGTGTGATGTTCGGTCAAAGTTCAGAGCGGCGGAGTCTATTCAGTAACTGCCCGTCACACTTGCGTTAGTTCTGATTTCATTGTGCGTGCGTCATGTTTCGTTTGTGTCAAGAGGTGAATTCCGAGGAGGAGGCTGTTCGTTATTTACAAAAGCGGAATCTATTACATAATTCTCGGTTTTGTGAAAATGGTCATTCGATGAGTTTGTCATTTTTTTTTCCATTGCAATGACTAGGTGAGTTTCATTTTTTCTTTTCCGTTTTCTTATTGTTGTTTATTTTCATTTTGTATTTTTCGTGTTTTTCTTGTTAGGGTAGGTTAGGTTAGGTTAGGTTAGGTTAGGTTAGGTTAGGTTAGGTTAGGTTAGGTTTGGTTACTTTATTTTGGTTCGTTGGCTTGATTGTTAATTTTAGGGGTTTTGGCAGCACGGCAATAGGGTACGTAAATCGCGCGAGGGAGTGTGGAGGGGAGGGGGTCGGACCGGAGCGTCCACTGGGTGTCTCGGAAGTTGATTGACAATTTTGCCATGGTGGGGCTCTTCTACTAAAGCCCCTCGATGATCGATCATTCACCCCTCGCATTGAGCGATCTTTTCATATTTAGTTTGACTACTATTTGAGGTTCATGTACGGAAGTTGTCTATCTTTATTATTGAACAACCTGTAACCACTCGAAGTATTTACTTTGAGATATTTTATTTTATTTTCTATCGAAGCAAATTAATCTAACGATTAGCGCACAGTTGCAATGTATAGAAGAATGTAATTTTTATTGACCGTGTGTTCAAGTAGAAACCAGTTAAGTTGAAATCTCTCTATTCGACTATCCTGTTGTCAACCACCTGCATTTCTTTCTTTGTCAGGTTACTTAATCTCAATAACATTCCGGAAGTTACAATTCATACATGAGTTTGTTGATTTTTTCCTAGACTAAGTCTGGTTTCCATTCTTATCTTCGCATATGCTCTTCTTGTCGTCACCGACATCTTTATTGACCGTTCTCATCCGTGCAGTAAGCTCGCGTTTTGTTTTTAATCGCGACGTAACAGTGTAAACAAAACGTTCAACTATGACTACTATTTTCCCGATAACTCACATTGCCTCAACTTGGCCAAATTGCAAGTTACGGATCTTTGAACGTGTCATCTTGACTTTTTACCATCAAAAGATAATAAATCACTTATCGTTGACATCGCTTTTTCCTGGGACAAATCAATATAGTATTCTATGATATTCTTTTTCCTGTTTTTGAACAACTTTAATCGAGTCTTTCCTGTGCAGTAAACAATTACCGAAAATTGAACGAGATGGAAAATTCAGGTAAGACATCCTTTGAGAGATTAAACAGAGAACGCTTCTTTTTTAGTTCTGTATATAATTCAAATTTGGAGCAGATCGCCTTATGATGATGAAGTCACCGCCCGTTTAAGAGCAATCCATGTAACTATAGTCAAGATATCAATACCTGAAATCCCAATATTCATCTTGATCTGTGCTCAACCAATTGTGTGATTGGGAATAAACATTTCCCCTGAAATTACCAAGCCAAACATCGTAGCCACTATCAAAGAGCTTGAATCCTGTGAAAAAAACAGATGAATTTGTTATTTTTCAGATGGTCGCTACAACTGAATACAAGGGGCATACCGGCATAAGTCGTTTTCATAAAATTGTTCCAAATATGTGCAGGCCACCATTTCAAAAATAGGGAGGTTGGCTTGCGGAGAATGCATCACTAAAGGAGACGTCCTAAAAGATTTGAGAAACCTGTAATTTTCTTTTGTAATTCCTCACCAAAAAATGTAGGAGAATGCAGAAAACTGGTAGACAATTCACTGCTCTCACAGTTTGAGTTAAATGATGAATAGCTTTTAAAGAAGAGCATTTCCTTGATCCCGATTTTAACTACATACCCTAAGAGTTTAAAACTATCACTGCAGTGAATTTATCATTCAAAATAGTTCATTTTAAGGTACAGCAACATTTCTCTTTTCTGGACTCATCAAGCTTAAAGTACTGAATTTATAGTTCCGAAACAACTTACCCAGAGCAGTCTGGGGTCCAGTCAAAAGCCAAGTGAAGGAACTATCTAAAATACCGTGCATAATCAAGACTGGCGGCCTCTTGCTCTTCTTGTTGGGTATCCTATGCAAAGTCAAAATATAGCCATCTATGGTCTGTACACGATGAGTTTCTGCGGGATAGCCGTAATATTTTAGAACTTCAGCCTTTAAAAGCGATTTTAAATCAAATAAGACATCTAGAAGCAGAAGACGGTCGTGCAAGTACTACACACACATGCTGATACAGGTAAAAACACATTTGAAGGCATTGGGTTGGTATAATCCTCAAGGTCACTTCCCAAAACGTCGCCACTCTGACGCAAAGGTGTATCTTAATTCCTACGTGAGCCCTGCTCTTCATATAAATCTACGCTATCCGTGGTTCATGTGGAAATACAGATGCGCCCCTATATCAGAGGAGTGACGAGAAGCACTGGAAAAAAAACACATTGTATCTAGACTCTTAAAAACATCAAGAAGAAAAAATACTCTTGATTCAATCAGATTGAAGCTTAAATCAAGATCCAAGCCTCTTAATTTGAGCGGATTTCCTTTTGATTTAAGCTTAAATCTGGTTGAATCAAGAATATTTTTTCTTGTCAATGTTTTCAAGAGTCTGGACTCTAGATCCAATGTGTTTTTTTTTTCCCCCAGTGAGAGAAAAATATTTCAGAGACACCGCATAAATAGCCTCCGAACCTTCTACAATGTGGCACAAAAGGTTTGTTTAAGGATGTGGAGATCACGTGTACCTATGCAATGGTTGGACCACGCAAAGCAGAAAGGAACCACACCACATCAGCTATTGTCAAATTTAATTGGGGAATTCAATTTTTTACATGAAAACGGTTGTGCGGATTTTGGTACGAATATCAGTGAATTGTCTTCATAGTACGAAACAAATTCCTTAAAAATTTCAAAACAAAATCCTTCTCTTGTAAGAAATAAAATTGGTCAGTTTTTGGCGATAGCTGATGTATCTTAGTTTCTTTCTGCTAAAAGCGGTACATTTAATGGGCGAAAATTACTGCGGAGTTCTCTATAAACAAGACTAGGTTCGAAGTAACTGGGCAAAATATTCCAAATAGCTTTCATCAGTCATTATTTGGGTATATCGTCGCCTACCTGATATAAAGGCGTAACTACACTCTGCAATGAACCCTGTCATCCATACAAATCAATGCTTTTCCGGGTTCATCTCAATGTGTAGTCACGCTCTTGTGTCAGCCAAGCGATGATGTGGTGATCTTGAAGTCCTGTACCACCAGCACCAGGCTTGAATTTTGATCAATCGAGAAATATTGCGATGATTGATAATTATGTAATACTTTGAAAAATTGTTTTGCCTTGACTTTTGATAAATTGAGATAGAGACTTGAAGATTTTTCAGTGCTGCTAGATCAAAGGGATCGACTTTTGGGAAGCCTCGAGATTTCAAAGGGACCTACTCTGAAAAGGGGCTAAACCCTAAGAGTTGTAAAGGTGCTGCGGAGACTTTTAGATTACCTCATAGATAAACGTTTTGGATTAACTGAAATGTTAAATCCACTTTTACTTCGATTGGATTGCTGGTGTGAAGGCTCCAGAAATGTCACTGGAAAAAATATTTTTCTTGAGATATTATTTTGAATTGAACCGCCGTTTCTTGTCGACAAAATTTGATTTCTTTGAGTTACAGAACCGTTGTTCCGCTATCGCTTTTTTTAGCTTAACGATAAAGAACAAATCAAAACAAAAAAAATGAAACAACTAATGATAAGTTAAATTTACAAGGATTTATCTCAAAAAGACCAAATTATGTCGACAAGAAACGACGCTTTAAGTCAAAATAATATCTTAAGAAATTTTTTTTTCAATGTTGTCTTCAGAACTCTGTGCATGCCGGTCATTTTCTTCTGGCTGTGTTTTTTTTTCTCTTTTTTATGAGAATATCAACGGCAAAACTCTCAAAACCTCGTATCTCAGTTTGCGACGTTGCCGACCTAAGTATTGTCAGACTTCATTTTTTAAATATAAAAATACTCAACATCAATTCTTTGAAGCTTCCGTGATTTTTTTTTCCAAGCGGAGGAACTTCTGGAAAAAGCTTCAAGGAATGATGTTGACTTGCTCTCCTTTAAATTAGTAAAATAAGAGGTAGATTTTAAAACACCGCAAACGAGATACGCGGTATAGTTTCACAATCGATATGTGACCGATCACATAGCAAGAGACCTAAAAAACCAATATTTAATTATATGTATTCACAATTTCTCAGAGTCTAAATCCTAATTTTATTGCAATAACTCTTACATTGATTGAAAAAAGTCGTATAAATTATTTAGTTCCGTTAATGGTGTAATAATGAATTCAAAGGAAGGTTTTTGGTGATCATTTAAAACCGAGCAGCGCATCAAGGATCATGATCCACATTTCAAGGTATTGGGAATGGCTCATCCATCATTTGACTTGCAAATTTATCGATCTTGTCAACTAATTAATTATCGAAACGAAAACTATCGAATTCGTTTGCGCAACATAAAACTAGAATTCACCGGAACCATTTGTGGTTCATGGTCTACTACGATCCACGCGTTGACCAATCCTATTACATGCTCCTCCTTTCAAATATATTTTTCCAAATATTACACACGCAGGTGGAAATTTTACTGTGGTACATGAAATTAAATAATTGACAAAAACCAGCATGTAACACATTCTTTAAATTTTAAAAAAGCATTAACACAAAAAAAGCTTTGAAACTGAAAATACCCATCATTTGTCATGCGTGCGTGAATGAGAAGAGATTCTGCAATATGTCATCACAATTCATTATAGAGATTGTTATTACGGGCGTAAAACTAAGACCTAAGTCATTACTGGAAGCTTCTGATAACATTTTGGCAATAAGGTACCCTTTACTGGGTTTTCCATTGTGAAGACAATTGGACATCCCCCCTCAAATCACTGCGAATCAAATACTGGAGACTGGACATCAATTATTTCAAGCCCCCCAAAAAATAGATTACAAATTGATAACCCAAAATTTTCACTGTTTTCATTCTGTAATCAAATTTTACTTTTGCTTGAGTCGAAGCGTTCATTCCAAACTTGAATTCTTTTTATTTTGACGGAGAACTAAAAGTTTCCCATCACGCCTGTCTAAACAAAAATTTCAGTCAAAATAGCATTATATTCTAACTATCAAACAAATGACGGCTTTAGATAAATTTTCACTTCAATCGTAAAAATGGGGAAAGAGAGGGGGAGACCAGGAAAATCACTAGATCTGAAGAGCAACATCATTAGATGTAAGCGATTATCCGTCATTTAAGTGAGCAACTTTGTAAAGAAATACTTTATTACTGTAGGAATACAGACGTAACACTAACTATGGACGTGAACTAGTTGGACTATTAAGTTGTGTGATAAAGTGACCATAAAGCGATAGTGTAAAGAACTGGAGACTTAAACAGCTCATAGCCGAGAGCTATTTGCTTAAATAGAGTCTCGTCCACTTTTTTTTTAGAGAAAATGCCTTTCCAGGGGCAAAAACGATAGTGAAACCCTAGTCGTCTTTTGTAACTTATGCTTGCATGCTTTAACGTCACACATCCACTAACTTTGACCGACAATTAATTTGGACCAATACAAGGAATCAAATTCCTGTATGTTATACTTTTAGAAAATATGATGAGGGAGTGTTTTTTATTCCAAACTTTTTCAGTGATACTCAGAAAAAATAATCGCACCCTATCTCAAGCATAATAGTAACTCTTTATTGAAGAGGAGAAAAATTAAAGAGGAACCCTCTCGATAAGTCAGTTTGTAGTTTGCAACCGCACTCACAATCTAATTTAGAAAAAATATGAGCATGTATCCAATATTCGATTCCCATTTGTCTAATTATTTGCAAAGGCTTCTTTTTTTCATGGGCTTTACCGGCAGAACTGAAACGGAATCAACGCGACTGGGCGTTTCTTTGATTTTGGGCGTTTGAATGAAGGAAGAGCATATGCCTTTGCTCCTCCAACCTTGGGTCTTAATAATGTAGACGACTGAAAAAACTTACGAGAGTTTTTTTTTTTTTACTACGAGGAACCAGATTCTCATAGCCAAAGGCAACCCGGACGACCGCTCAAGAGACGGGCACAGAGCTGCCTTTCATCCCCGGAGGACCATTAAACGGTCTCTCTCGTCATCATCATATTTTACTAATTTAGAGGCTAGACAAACAGGGCCAAGGTCCTAGTCAAAATTTAGTAGAAGAAGAAGAAGAACCAGCTTCTCAGGAACCGTCAAATTTCCTCCATATCCAAATATAATCAATCCCTCGCGAAGGCTCCATGATGCTTGAGACCACTCGATAATTGGACGTATTTCTGTCAAACGGAGCTATGTGCATTATGACGTGAGCCGTGTTATGCACATATGCTTATGGGTCTTAGGGCTCATGTCTTAATGCATATAGTTCCGTTTGATAGAAATACGTCCAATTTTGGGTCTGCGTGACAAGGCAATTTGTTAAAAGATCGATCTGGGACACTTGATAATCAATTATCTTCAGACAGCCCATCAACGAAAATTCGCGATTGGTTGTTCTCGCCAGTGGCGTGGCGTGCTTTGCGATATACCGATTCGTCGGCCATTTAAACCTATGGAAAAGATCGATATATAGGGTGTTCGCAACGAACACCTTAACAATCGATTCTTCACTATAGCTTCAAATGGAGAAATATCGACAATCGATCATCGACGCCTCGCCACTGGTTCTCACACCGATAATCGTGCCCGTGCTCTTGTTTTGTCGTCCTTCTGACGTGAAAGGGTATCTAAATTTCCGAGTGAGCTCTTTTGTCCATATAACTCCACGCTTTCCGGGGCTCACCTGCGGGCCGATTATTGAAATTGATAGACAAAGCTATAGACAAAGAAGACATAGGGGGTATAAAGCAATCTTATAGGTTGAAATGGGTGGTTCTCATAGACTAAGGGGGAAAATGATAGACTAACTGTCGGGTCTCTCGTGGGTTGCCGTTAGTTAGTCTATTACTGACCTCCTTTGTCCATTTGCAACCACCCGCTTCTACCAATAGGATCCCTCCAAATCCTTTTTGTCTTCTTTGTCTATTGCTTTGTCTATCAATTTCAATAATCAGCCCGCTGGAAATTGAAATACCCCCTTACGTCAGAGGAGCGACACTTTGAGATGTGATGCAATGATTGAGGCACCCGAAAGTATAGGTCTGGATTTACTATCGGTCTATAGTGATCAATTTGTTTCTTCAGAGCTTAGTTTGTGTTTTTAAAGAGTGTGATGCAATTCAAGAAGCTGATCTCTCAGACTCAGAAAACTGAGGTTTTGATAAACACACTAGAAAAAATGGGGTTTAGACGGTTGCCAGATTCTTGCCTTCGTGTAAATACAAGGGAATCTAGTAGCCGGTGCCAGATGTTTAGTAGTGTTGATCATACGTCTAGTGGTCTTTCCTAAATATGCCGGTAAGACTACCAGATTTTGTTGTCCAGTTCAAAAGTTCGAATGAGATGGGGGAAAAAACACTTATGTGTGTTTTTGATTACCAATCTGTGTTTTATTTCTATCATATAATGGTGACTTCAAGTGACTTTTCTATAATATTCGGAAAACTGAGCTATATGACTACAGTTTTTCGCACGAATTTCAAGATTTTGAAAATGATTGACCCAGTTTTCATGTTTTCTCACCTCGGCGAATTTTTTGAGCGGTAGTTTTAAAAAGATGCAACCTTAATAGGTACTTTAATTTTAGTATGAGTTTTTTTGTAACATTTTTTTACGTTCTCATGACATGTCCTGCAGTTTTTTAACCATTTTAATACTGTACTGAATCTATAATCTATAATTGAAACGTAAAATAATTATAGTACAACACATACTGCGGGAAAAAAGTATTCAACATTCCGACTCCTAGTTAACTACGAAAGAACAGCAAATCGTTGTTCTTTAGACGTAAAAAGTACTACTCTTGGGCTAAGCCCTGTCACCCGCGGGACTTTAGGGCCTCTCTACAAAATGCGTCATAGCCTAACGCCAGAGGAGCGATGAAACGTACAGGGGAGAAAATATGCATCGGTAAACAGGATCAGCAAAAGATACCATATATCAACGAATCAAGGTATCAGTGTGCTCAAAATATCTGTTTTAAGAATTCGTTAAAAGAGAAAAAATCAAATGTGTATCTTATGCTTACCGAATCCATTTTCGCGGTTTCTTCCAGTGAAGCACCGCTGACTAGACTAGGTTGTAGGGCAAGTGCCGCAGCACATATCACAAATAAATTCCAAATATTGGGTGAAATACATTCCCGCTTGTCTTCCTCCTCGCCAAAATGCTCTGATGGACACTTCGGCTTCTTTTCCGACTTATCAGTAGCTCTTGAAGTATTCGAAGTCATCATGAGGGCAATCCAAATTGCTTTAAGCTCAATTCCGAGATTAAACTTCAGGTATCCATCGAACGGTGAAATTAACTGCTACGATGTCTTTTTCACCTAAAATCGCGGTGCCCAGATAAAATTTGCTCAAGCGTAGAAAATCCTGAACACTCAAATTATTTTACTTTTTCCAGCACTGCACCGCATGTTAATCAAAGCACTCGTTGGTCTGAAAGTCGCCAATTCAAGCCATTATCGAAAGACTTTTCAATTTTGAACACTTTCTACATCTGACATTTCTGAAATCAAAATTCTGAACTCCCTCCAACACAGCGTTACAAGCACTCGTTAACGCGTGACGTTACAAACTGAATCCTGAAAATCGGTCGAATCTCTTCGCAGCGACCGGAATAAACACGGAACCGATGGGTTTGCGACGACACTGAACAACTAATAAGCCTGAAAAATTAGTGATAGCTGGAGATTAAGTTGTCGGACACGGTCGAAACTTTGCGGGTATTTTGTAAACAAAAATGCGGACGCCGAAATCGGAGCAGCGCGAGGACGCGCTTGGCGAGACTAGAGCTTTGATGGCACCGATCGGACTGATCGAATGCAGTCGCGTGGCTGGCGAAGGAACAATCAGCCGTTTTTAAGGGGATCTTCACGGATGGGCGGGGCGCCAGAAAAGATCCATTGATCGATGACGCTTCCCGCAGGGCTCCCGCATCGGAAGTCAACCGTCGCACAGTGGATCGAGTCAATTAGAAAGGTCGCACATGACAGTTTTTCAGGGTGTCTAGTTTTTTTTTTTTCATTTTGGGACATTCTTGATGAAATCTTGATATTTCCAGACTTATGATTGCTAAATCCTGATTTTATGATTTTTCCAAATCCTGATTTTTTGCGGAGAAAAATTAATCACACACAAATCACAAAAAATCAGAGGCGGATCCATCAATTTGGCAACATCGGATTGCCTCCATTTAAACCTATGCTAAGTAATCGATCTTCGTCGGAGCACCTGCCCCCTCCAAGAATCGAAACATTTCCATACTTTCAAATGGAGAAAAGGCAATGTTGCCAATTTGCTGAATCCGCCAATGCAAAAAATCGCAAAAATAGCTCAATACAAAAAAATCCGATCGGACGGCCGACTTTCCTCCAATCCTGATTTTACCACCGATTTTCCCTCAAATCCTGATGAAATCGGGAAAATCTGGAAAAACTTGATGCTAAACACCCTGCTTTTTACTAAAACTGCGAATTTTGCTGTTTATTTCGTCACATTCTAAATTTCACGAGGAAACCAATGGAGCCACTTTTGGAATCTCAAAGTTTTGTATAGACAGAGTTATAAGTGTTTAAAGTTTCTAAATTTTGGTCCGACCTCTCCTATTGACTCGATCCACTGTAAGCCGGCGCCTCGTTGGGAAACCGCCGGCCAATTTTGACTCCGGAGTATTTCCCACGGCACCTCACGGATCCAGCGGATGCGAGGCGTTTCGTGACTCCACCGTCTCCGGAACGGTGGAAAAATGGGTCCGGTAATTGCCCAGAAAAATGACGACCCCCCCCCCCCCCCCCCCTCCGCAAGCGTCAAAACATTCATGATCGTCATTCGTCGTATCTGAGGCTGAAGAAGGTGAAGGTGACTGCGTTTCTACGTGCCAGAATTTCCCCTTGCAAATTTTACTTTTGCTAGGAGCCTTATGCGATTAATTCTACCAAAAATGTCTCTTCTGGTCGTATGCAAACAAAAATCAGTCTTTTGAAGAGAAATCCTATCTTAGTTTCGTATATGAGGACTTATATGTAACGATGGCGGATGTGAAAAATTACGTTTTCGAAACACATTCAAAAAACTGTTTTGGCATCGAGAAAATTTTGAGAAAATACTTGAGATGTGATCTTCGAGATCTGTAATCTGAGATATGCCAAAGCCAAACTTATTAAATTTTTGTGTGAACAAAACAGTTTTTTAAGCGTGTTTCGAAAAGGTAATTTTTCACATCCGCCATTGTTACATATAAGGCCGCATATATATTTCATAGAAAATCTTATTTTCGTACAAAAAACTAAGCAATGTGAAGGGCACTAAGCGATTTTTTAGATTCCCACCAATAAAAAATGGCGGAAATCTCGAATTTGGCAGAAAATTGGACTAGACGAGAGATATTGAAGAGCGCAAAGCGTCTTCTAGAGGTTGCCGGGGCAAAGCTTCTTAGTACTGTTCAATCACGACACCGTGACACCGGCACTTAGAATGCATTACATGAATGAGACTACAGCTAATGAATGCTGACCATTCGACCAAACCAAATAACTGAATAGCCAGCTTGGCTTTAATAGCGTAGAAACTGGATTGAGAACCTCGGCGTTCAAAGTTTTTGCCCAATTTTACGAGCCCAAAGATTTTACCGATAAGTTACATGCTGCGAGCATGCATCGGTCAGCGACCCATGACCGCCCTGCAAGTGGAAACTTTTAGATAGTGACCTTCTAATGCGGCTGTTGAACTTTCGTTTTTTTTTATACCTGAGCCACTTCCGATTTTCGTTTAATATGCTCGTGTTCGATACGGATCTTGGCTGCTCACTAAATGGACGTATTTCTGTCAGACGGAACTATGTGCAGTAAGGCATGAGCCCTGAGACCCATAAGAATACATGCATAACAGAGCTCACGTCATAATGCACATAGTTCTATTTGGCAGAAATACGTACAAATGAGCCACGACACAAGAGCTCCGGAAGTTACAAGATGACCATGGAATAGGTTCTCAAATGTGGGCCGTATCCCTCAGTGGTAGGGCGTAAACGATCGACTATCGATTTTTTCTCCATTTGAATCTAAGGAAAAGAATCGATTATTAAGGTGTTCGTTGCGAACACCCTGATAATCGATCCTTTTCCATAAGTTTAAACGGCATTTCAATCGATATGTCGCAAAACCCGTCGCGCCACTGATATCCCTCCAGAAATGTTACATGTTGGTGTTTTCTTCTGTAAACTCCTACTAATTTTCTTTAATATTGAATTATATTTACTAACTTTTCTCGCTTGAAGTTCTTGAACAAAAAAATGCACTGGATTCCGTATTGTGAGGTATTCGAGTGTCTTTTGTGTTTGTGGTTCAGCTTTGAAATTTTGATGTACCGAGCATGATTTGTCGAGCAAAAATTCATTTCTGGGGGAAGTCTCCGAAGAATGAATGAAGAATTTACAGCACTCTGTCAATTTAGATCCTTCACCACACAATGAAACAAACCTTTCACCGAGGTGGGACTGGAAACTTTCGACTAAAACTGCAAATTTTTATCATAATTTCTTCACATTATAAATTGTTTAGGGTACTTTTTGAAGTGAATTTTACAAGAAAATCATAACGAAACTACTTCTAAAACGTCTACACTCTGTTTTAACATCGGCAAGAAACTTTAACGTCTCCCCAATTTGTCCGACTCCTCTCATTGACTCGCTCCACTGGGCACCGCTGGTAAGGTAAGGCGGTTGTTGTCTAAAGTCAAAGCGCCTTCACTTCCGGGCGTATGCAACACGGATATCCATGATGCCCGAATAGTTGCATCCAGGCGTTGTAATGAAATTCGTTTAGTTTCCATCGCATGCGCACTCTAGGGGTGGTTTGGGGATCCAAAATGTTTCACAACTTATTATTAGCCCATTTGGAAACTAAAAATCATGGGCACCGCGAAAAGTCAATTTTAGCGCTTCTTCGATTTGTTTGTTGATTCTTATGTAAAATTTTACGAGAAACACGATGGTGCCACTGGTTTTCTCTGAAATCAACTCACGAGCACAAAAAAAGCTCTCAAGTTGAGGCTAAAATGGAGAAGATATCCCACGCTATCCTGAGAGTCCACGTCTACATCAAGACGAACTCCC